GTCTGGCGCGTGCCGGCGGGACGCGCGCCCCCGCTGGGCACGCAGTGGGAGTTGCGGGGAAGGGCCGCGCTGTGAGCTGGGCGGCTGGTGGCTCCACCTGGAAGCAGGGGGCTTGGCTGTTCCAACGGGAGATGGCTTCAGGCGCGGGCTGAGCAGCCTGTGGGGAGGAACCGTAAGAGCAGCAAGCTCTGTGGAGAATTGGGCTTCATAATAGTGTGCGGGGGGGAGCACACTGGGAGAGGAGTCTGCCCGCTGCCATCTAGCTCCAGGAGTGGACCCCTTACTCTCGGGGCCGGTAGAGACTCATGTTCTACACACGTTCCGAGTTGGAACAGTGATAGAAATGTAGCCGTGTTAGTCTGGGGTAGTTGAAGCAAAATGCAGGACTATGTAGCACTTTAAAGACTAACAAGATGGTTTATTAGATGATGAGCTTTTGTGGGCCAGACCCACTTCCTCAGATCAAATAGTGGAAGAAAGTAGTCACAACCATATATACCTTGGAACAGATACAAATCACCTGATAAGTTTCTTATCTTACTGTAGCTTGCATTTCACTCTGAATGTGAGCCCTAGCTATATTTCATCCGGTTCAGTTCTGTGATGGGAAGGATAGTTTGGTATTCAAAGAGAGATTTTTCTGTCTGAAGTGCCTGAATAGGGATAGAAATGTAGCCGTGTTAGTCTGATGTAGCTGAAGTAAAATGCAGGACAGTGTAGCACTTTAAAGACTAACAAGATGGTTTATTAGATGATGAGCTTTCTTGGGCCAGACCCACTTCCTCAGATCAAATAGTGCCTGAGTGAGTAAAGTTCATCATCTAATAAACCATCTTGTTAGTCTTTAAAGTGCTACATAGTCCTGTATTTTGTTAAAGTTTGTCTCTCTTTGCAAATTCTACATCTTTAATACATACAGTTATAAGTAGCTTTTTGGTATCTTACATATTGATTAAAATATAACTGAATAAGAAGGTTGATGGAACTCAAGACAAAAATATTTCATGAATAGAAGACTTTGGACAATCTCAGGATTTGTTTTAGCACCAAAATCTGATCTGCCCACTGGATTTCTACTGCTCTAAAAGTACTTTACCAGAGCAGGTAGTATTGTAGCTTTAATATGAATATGCTGTAATATGCAGCAGCTGATATTTTACATGTAGTTTAGGACATTTTTGTAAGATTGTCTTAGGAAGTTCTTAATGGGATTCCTTATTGGATGGCTAGAAGAACAGTTTCATTCCTTTTGGACATTCCTGGAGAGTCATTTTTCAGATATGTGAATTACCTTTTTAAATGAAAATACTGGTTCTGAAAAGTCTTGTTATCTGGAAAAGCCTATTTTAATGTAACCTTAGGGCTTATCTTGCAACTTGTTCTGCGTATTCAGGTACCATTTCAGCGCACACACCTACCCATGTGAATAAAAGTTGCAATTTCTGTGTCTTAGATGTACTGGACTTGAAAAATAGGAAACGGCACACAGATACTACAGTGAGGAGGATGTTATAAGAATCTCTATAAAATAGGAACCTCACTTTTGCAGGCTACTTATACATTTTGAATATTTAAACGGATTTCATTACTAAAATATATTGATTGAGACCCTGAGGGCTTCTCTTCACTATGACAGGCACTGACAGTTCACCGAAGATCTGTTTAGCAGACCCACTCAATCAATAACTGATCGCTCAGATATCGACTCTTGTACTCCCAACGGAATGAATGGAGTAAGGGGAGTCAATGATAAGTAGGTTGACATTATGTTGACTTGAGTTGCACTACTAATGTGACTCAAATAGTGTAGCTTAGATCAAATTCTCCTCATAGTGTAGACCTGCCCCAAAATACTAATCTTTACCACACTGATGTGAGGTAGGAAAGTACTACCGTTCCTGTTTTACAGATGGGGAACAGATGTGTAGAGTGACTAAATGACTTGCCCATTCTTGTGATAATGTTAATTTATGTTCATTGGATGGGTATGACTGTATGTGTACAAGTTACTAGTACATGTTGGACCTCCCTGGTCCGGCACCGTTGGAACTTAACTGACCATGGACAAAGGAGATTTCTGGACCAGGAAAAGTCGGCAGAAGGGGGTGCCAGTCTCCCTATTGAGCTCCTCTCCCTGGCCACCCCATTGGCTCTGCTGCCCTGCTATTCTGCAGCCCTGCCGGCTCCATGGCCCCACTGGCCTGTGGACCGTGCTTTCCCGAGGGCTTTGGGGCCCGACAGACTGTGCAGCCCTATAGGCTCTGCTGGCCTGTAGGGATGTTAGATATCATGTAACTGCATGAAATGTTAGCAGTTACATGCCTATTCAATAGTCTCTGGGGGCAGGACTGGCAGCCAGTGTGATCCTAATCCCACTCCTGGGATCCCTCTGCCACTCCACACTACTGCCCCTATATCAGAGGCAGCAGCATGCAGTGGCAGGCAGGAGCTGGTCCACCAGGTGAGCCAGTTTAAAAACAAACGTTATCATGTAACTGCATGAAATGTTAGCAGTTACATGCCTATTCAATAGTCTCTGGGGGCAGGACTGGCAGCCAGTGTGATCCTAATCCCACTCCTGGGATCCCTCTGCCACTCCACACTACTGCCCCTATATCAGAGGCAGCAGCATGCAGTGGCAGGCAGGAGCTGGTCCACCAGGTGAGCCAGTTTAAAAACAAACGTTGTCCCACCCCTTATCCACGAGGGTCCAAGCTCCCTGTGGACATGGGGAGCAGGCGGGTCCTTGGAGCTGGCACATGCAGGGAGCCTGCTTGAAAAATGGCTCCCCATGCACATTAGCTCCAGCCTGCCTCTCTCTCTGCACTGCTGCCTGTCTATCAGAGGTAGCATCATGGAGGTGGGCAGGGACAGGCGATTTGGTACTCATGGAGAGCCCACTGCTCTCCCCTCCTTATTACCTCTGATACAGGCTTGTTAATCATGTATGTAGTCGACTACACGATGACATCCCTAGTGGCCTGTAAGCTCCACTGTCCCTAGTGGGTGGCTCCATTCCCAGCTGCTGGCAACCTCTGGACCACAGATGTTCAGCCTGTACATGTATTAATACAGGTTGGCAAATTGCTTGTAACAGCAGTGGTGGGTAGTCATTTTTGAAGGGTGGACTACTCCATTTTAAGTGGTTACAGGATGCACTTTTATATTACTGGAGAAAGTGTGGGGTCTGGGACTAAGTATGGGTGTAGGAGGGAGTTCTGCACAGAGATTAAGGTGCAGGAGGGGGTTCTGACCTGGAGCAGAGGGTTTGGGTGCAGAAGGGAGTGCCAGACGCAGGTTCTGGCTCTAGCCAAGAGGTGCTTACTACAAGTGGCTAAGGGTTTGGGTGCAGAAGGGAGTGCCAGAGGCAGGTTCTGGCTCTGGCCAAGAGGTGCTTACCACAAGGGGCTGTCCCAATGTGCCAAGGGCCAGTCCTCAAGCAGCCAGGCTACCTGCATGCTCTGTTGGCCCTGCACTACTCAAAGCTGCTGGCAAGCGTGTCTCTGCATGCCTCTTTGGAGGATGGGGATAGCAGGTCTCCACAGCTCTCATTGACTGGTTTCTGGCAAATGGTGCTGGAGCGGGGGCTATGTGCAGAGACCCACAGCTCCCCTCTCCCACCAGGTGCATGCAGAAACTTGCTTGCCAGTAGCCTCTGGCTGTGGCACTTCTGGGAGCAGCATAGCTGCGGGCACGGCAGGCAGGCAGACTACTTGAATACCTCGCAGGGACATGAGAAGCTTTCCTCCGGCCCTGGGTTAGAGAAAAATATTTGAAGGGCCGGATGTGGCCTGTGGGCCGTATTATGTCCACTCCTGTTTAATAAGGTCTTTTATAAACTGAATGTGGTCTCACTTTTGTTTTTGTAGGACCGTTGAATAAAAATACAGCAGAGAAAATTTTAACTAAATATTTACTACTAGAATATTTACCTAGTGTTGCTTGTGTCCTTAACCTGTTTTTTGGAAAATAAAACAAAAATGTACATGCTTCATTTAAATCAGTGCTATTGGGTGACGTTGATGTTGAAAGGGTTCATTACGCAGGTTGGCCTATTTAAATCAGTGCTATTGGGTGACGTTGGTGTTGAAGGGTTCATTATGCAGGTTGGGCTGGGGAGAGAGGGCTATCCCAGTCCTCTCTCGTTTCAGCAGTTTGGAGTTAGGTGAGAAGTGCTTCTCCATGGCTGCTGCAATTCCAGCAGGGGTACAACGTACCCAACTGAGGCAAGTCCAGGTTCATCTGCCCCCTGCACTCCCCAGCCAGAGCGAGGAATGCAGCAAACTGCACATTTCCCTCTCTCCCTGATGAAGGGGAACAGCCATCAATGTTTCCATACAAATGGGAAGGGGAGAGTTTGCACATCACCCCGCCAACCCTAAAGAGCCCCTAGAGAGTGCGATGTTTGGTGTTGGGGCAGTCCCAGATTGCGAGGGGGAAGGAGAGGCACTCCTAGCCATTCAGCCCCTTTCACCTGCCTCGTGATACTGTTGTCTGTATGGTTTAATGAGAAACAATCCCATTTCAGGCGGGCTACCAAATTTGGTGGTCCTAGCTCTTAGCATTTAGGAGGAGTTCTTGAACAAATAACTCTAAAACTTCTGACCAGTTTTCCTTAAACCTGGTTTGCTTTTTACGCTTCAGTAAGAACAAATAAGCCAAGTTTGAAGTATCTTGCTTTGGATGTATTTATTATCCAAGAACAAAACTTCTGATTGGATCTTAGGTGGGAAATGTATTTTTAGTCTCAAAAAGGCTCAACAAACTTGTGCCAGACTTGAGTGAAAAAAAATCACTTTCAAACTACATCAGATGGAATGAGAAATACTACATGAAGAGCAATTTTGTTTAAGATTGTGAACAGCTAAACATTAGTGCTTACTATGGAAGTGATTCAGTATTATTAAAATGATTACTACATATTTTAAAATATATATTTTACACAATGTGTAGTATTGATATAAAAAATGCAGCTAAGAATTCAGTTTACTTTCTTAGTATCTGCTTCTTTCCTTGCTAAAAATAAACTAGTTATAAATCATGCTGTTTTCAGTTACTGGTGATTTGTGGGACCAACTAATGGAAATGAACTTTTGTTGTTCTTAGAAGTTTGCTAAGAATACTGTATGCAGAGTTCCCTGCTGAGGCTCTTGTACATTTCAAAGGAGGAATGCGGAAATGCATATGAACTAGTCGATGGAAATTCCGTTGACTAGTCAATTAATTGCATTTTAACATCCTTATTCCAATCCAGCATTTCTAACTGTAGCAAATCTCACACTAACTTCTGAACATTATAGTATGGACCATATGATTGGCTTGTAACCAGTGCCCTTGGTATATGCAATCTGCTTGAATTATATTCCGTTAATCTGAAAAGCTTCTTTTCTTTTGTAGATTGAAAAAGTCCACTTGGATTACAAATTTCATTGAGCAGAAAAATATCTTAATGAAAACTGGAGAGACGTCCAGAATTCTTTTAGTGGAATAACCATAAAAAAGGAAATGCAATCAGATGAACAAGAAAAAATCTTACCTTACAATGGAGAAGTTCTCATTTTTCAGTTATCAAAAGCAAAATGTGCAGCTGAAAAAACAAGATTACATGTTAACAGAATGGCATATGACAGTGACACTAACATATTTATTCAGAAATCCTCAGGACTGTTCAGCATGCATGGTGGAAGCTTGAATATTGAAATTGTTTGTTGTGGATGTACAGCAGATTTCAGAACAGGAATTAATCTTCCCAGTATTTTGATGAGAAAGAAAAAAAGTAATAGTACTTTCAAATATTTTTTGTTGTTGCTTCACAGCTCCAATGAATTTGAACAGTGCTTACATTTTAAATTGGACTATGAATTGAAAGATGACATAAAGCTGCTTAATGGTCCAACAATATTGTGGAGACATACCAACAAAATTTTTTATATCTCTACCAAAACTTGTACAGTGCTAAGTGCTTCTGTTCAGTTTTCTTCCATTGAATGGGCGGATGAGGTTGAGAAAGAAGGCATTGTTATATTAGGGACGAGAACTGTTTGTTTTCCGGAAGAAAAAGATGGGCAAACACTTTCAAAATCAGATGGAGCCATCTGGGGTGGTGAATTTGTTGTATATGCAATTGAAAATCAAAAAACGTTAAGTGGCACCTGTTTTCTGCCTCATGCCTATAGCAGCGTGATATCTTGTGTACATGTCTGCAGGACTAATATATCAAGAAGCCCCTTCAGAACATCAGTTGTTGCCGTTACTCACAAAAAACAGTTGATTTGGTTCCAAGATGGTCTTCCTAAAGATGTCTGCCAGCTGCCATATGAAGAGCCCTGTTCACTACAAGTAGCGGCAACAAGTGAAAATGGCCTTCTGTTTATTGTGTCATTTGCTTCTGGAAATGTCTGTGTTGTGCGTAAGGACGGCTTTCAGGTATTGTAGTCTTATCTAGTTAGTAACAATGGAAATTTTTAAGGATTCTATTTTTTTCCCCGTCTGCAAATTAAGAACATAAGAACGGCCGTACTGGGTCAGACCAAAGGTCCATCTAGCCCAGTATCCTGTCTGCCGACAGTGGCCAGCACCAGGTGCCCCAGAGAAGGTGGACCAAAGACAATGATCAAGCAATTTGTCTCCTGCCATCTCTCTCCAGCCTCTGACAAACAGAGGCCAGGGACACCATTTCTATCCCCAGGCTTGTAGCCTTTTATGGACCTAACCTCCATGAAATTATCTAGCTTCTCTTTAAACTCTGTTATAGTCCTAGCCTTCACAGCCTCCTCTGGCAAGGAGTTCCACAGGTTGACTACATGCTGTGTGAAGAAGAACTTTCTTTTATTAGTTTTAGATCTGCTACCCATTAACTTCATTTGGTGTCCTCTAGTTCTTCTATTATGGGAACTAATAAATAACTTTTCTTTATTCGCCCTCTCCACACCACTCATGACTTTATATACCTCTGTCATATCCCCCCTCAGTCTCCTCTTTTGTAAACTGAAAAGTCCCAGTCGTTTTAACCTCTCTTCATAATTTGTAAGTTATGTTCCCACAAGAGAGAGATTAGTGTTAATCATTTACTTTTCCTTATGTTGCTTCCATTAAAGTGACCTAAATACACTAAGGTACATCTTTCCTTTTGTTGCTCTATGATTTGTCTAAAAACTAGGTATGTGAAAGGGTACCCAGTTACCCTTAACCAGTGATGCTTACCAGGCAATGGTTAATCATTACCTGGGAGCAGCCCTCCGTGGGCAGAAAATTGCCCCAGCCCTGCAGGAATTGGCAGCGGGGAGGACTGCCAGCTCCCAGCCCATGTGCCGCAGTTGAGTGGGGGGCAGTGGCGGGGCGCCGGGGAGGTAGCAGGCCCCCCACACTCGTACTGGTCCCACGTGAGGCTGCTTGGAGCCAGAAGCCTAGCATAGGATTGGAAGCAGCCAAGCTGGAGCAATTCCTGCCCACGGCATGGGGGCTACTCCTGCCCAGCTATGGCAAGTGGGGGGGTACTCCAGCCTAGTGGTTTGAAAAACTCCTCTGCCCACTTAACATTTAACCTGTTAACTAATTAAATGGGATTTTACATCCCTACTAAAACAGTAATTGAGTCAATTGTTTACTTAAAAAAAAAAAAAAGAAAAAGAAAGAAAGAAAATGAGACTTGGCCAGTGTCCCTATTGCTGTTTCAAAAGTTCTTTATAAAAGCAATTCTTATTTTAACAAGACTGTGTTATGAATGTTTTTATATAATTCATTTTAGAGAACTGAGCTGATGTTAGCCTCAGATTTAAATTTGCTGCTTGAATTTCACTACAGGCTGCACCTCCCTAAACCGGGACTCTCTGGCTTGGGGTGGCTGGGAGTCAGGCAGCAGGAGGGCTGGCTGCTGAGAGCCCTTGGGAGCCCGGCAGGGTTAGCGGGAGGGTTATGTGGCTGCCTGGCAGGGGGCCACATGAACTGGGAAGCCAGGACCACGCAGCAGCCGGGCAGGGGACCAGAGCCATGCATCGTGGGGAGCTAGAGCCAAAGCTGGATCTGTGCAGCTGCCCAGTAGGGGAGCTGGATCCAGGGTCACAACAGTGTGGCAGGGGAACCAGGCTATCGCAGCCTGGCAGGAGCAGGGGAGACAAGGACATCATCCTGGCAGAGGAGCTGGTCCGGGGCTGCACAGCAGCTCACTAAGCTGGGACCATCAGCAAGTATCCTGACTGGGGCCGTTAGCAGGGTGAAGCAGCCAGAGCCAAAAGCATATCCAGTGGCAAACTAGAAAGCTGGCAGCAGGGGACCTCCCCTGGTCTGGCAGATTTCCTCATTTGGGACCTGTTAGGTGCTGGACTCAGGAGTTCCAATCTGTAACTTTTGCTGACATTTTGGCAGTGAGGAAATGCAACAGATGAAGACCATGGACATATTTTGGCTTTAGTTTTTCTAAATTCATGAGGTAATGTGAATTATTAGTGTTTTCTTGATGTGCTGCCAAAAGCTCTGTGTAATTTTGCTTTGTTTAGAAATTTCTAGTGTGCCTGTAAAATACACAAAATACAGTACACTTTTTGTTCCATTCTTTGTATTGAATGGACATAATTGACAAAGTTAAAAATATCAGATTAAATATTTGTAACTTGAGTTTTCACAGAAATATGGGGAGTGCTAAATGCTTAACTGTTATGAGTATAAGCTTACTTTCCATACTCAGTGCAGAATTTAATTCTACAACTATCTTAAGTATTGGTGGGGGAAACATGACTAAATCATAAGTCTTAATAAATTGTATTTAAGAATAAACATTCAAAAGATGCAGTATTTGAAAGAAGTTATCTAGAAAAATGGACTTTTCTTTATGCACTTTACAGATGAAGACAATTGAGACACAGAAGATAACAAATGTGTCCAGGGTGACACAGCTAGTCTATGATAGAGCTAGGAATAGAATTTGGGACTTGATCTCTTGGTATTGACCAGCAGTTCTCAAAATTCATTACAACATGATCCCCCTTCTGGCAATGAAAAATTACTATAAGAACCCAGGACCAAATCCTGAGCCCACCCTAGCTCCAAGGTCCCAAAGCCTGAACCCAACCAACCTGAGGCAGTAGGGGCACAAAGGCAAACTCCAAGGGTTTCAGCCTTGGGGGAGAGGGCTGTAATCTGAGCTGCACTGCCCCAGGCTGAAACTGAAGCCTAAGTCTTAATACCAGCCTTGCTTTGGGGTCCTGATCCACAATTTGAGAACTGCTACTCTAGATTCACGTATGTGCTTGTTTGTAAGTGTTCTCTTATGTGCTTTTTTTAAAAAAAGAATAATTTAGATAAATTGAAACAAAATTAAATCTCAAATACAGATGCCTTAGAAAAATACATTTTTAATATTGTATTTTACTGCAGGTTGCTTCTAGATGGCAAGAAGTGAAGTCTGTTCTGATAGATGACTTCATTGGCACTGGGACTGAACAAATTTTATTGCTATTTAAGGACATATCCAGTACATCTAGTTTAACTACATTCATTATAACAGATATTGGAGAAGTCAGCTATGCAGTAAGTTAATTTTATTTTTTCTTCCCATTCAGTGTACACTAATGAAATTTCATGAACCGAACTTCAAGTTAAAAATAAAAAATTTTGTGCAAAGTGACTCTGTACATATGCTAGCAAATCCCCTTAAACCTAAATACTATTAAAATAATAAGGCACTGTGAATTTATAAAAAGTAAGAATCAGTCAAAATAACTGTCTGGCTTGAAGTAGGGATGTTAGGTATCAAGTAATAGAATAGTCGAGTAACCGCATGAAATCTTAGCGGTTACTCAGCTATTCTATAGTCCCTGTGATGGGGCCAGTAGCCAGTGTGTTCCAGCCCTACTTCTGGGGATCCCCCTGCCATCCCATGCTGCTGTATCAGAGGGAGCAGCGTATGGTAACAGCATGCTGCTGTATCAGAGGCAGCAGCGTATGGTAACAGTTTAAAAACCAGCTCCCCGTGCTAGGGATGTAAGCAACTAGTCAACTACCCCATAAGCGGAGGCTTATTGGGTAGTCCAATTGACTAGTCGCTTCCTCCCCCACCCTTCCTGCCTTACTTTGGGGGGCAGGGGAGGCAGAGGTGCAATGGGGACTGAAGCAGTCCCATTGGCACTGGGTTCCCACTGCAGCAGCTGTTGTACATTACAAAGGGAGAGGCTCAGCAGTGGGGGACCCACGCCAGTGGGACAGCTTGGGTCCCGGCTTACAGGGGTTCCCTGCTACGCCTCTTCCTTGAAATGTACAAGTGATGTAGCGGCTCTTGTACATTTCAAAGACAGAGGCGAAGCAGAGATCCCCCATCGACTAATTGAGTAGTTGAGGGAAAGTCTATCGAATACTCAATTAGCTGATTAATCAACATTTAACATCCCTATCCCATGCAGACCGGCTATGGACAGGGGCTGCTACTACCTGCCTGTCTGTGGCGGGTCCGAGTTCCCTGCAGATGGAGGCTGCTCTGCCTCCCACAGAGCAGCTTCTGGACAGGGGCTGCTTTGCAGCAGTCTTCCATGTTCCCCCTCCAGTCCCTAGCTGCTGCCTGTGATAGAGGCAGCAATGCAGGGGGCCAGGCGGCACTCCAGACTCAGTGCTGGGGGAACCAACTTGTAAGCTGGCTCCCACCACCACCGGTTCCTGCTCTCCCCCACCCCCCTGCTGTCTCTGTTTTTTTGTGGCCTGTGGTGTGGTTTGGGTTTATGTGGGGTTCAACACAAAACCCATGGGTGTGATCCTTTGAACATGGCTTCCACTGGGAACATGCTCCACAACGGCAAGGTGTTTCCCAGGCGGGGTGAACATTGAAAAACACAAGCAGATGTGCTGGTTGGAACAGACTGGTACAGGGTGTCAGCATTTCTAGCTGCAGGAAGGAGGTGCCGGGAGTGCCTGAGCATTGTGTGAAAAGCTATTTGCATGTATATGCAACTACATGTAAGCTGTGGCCCTCAGCATGTGCTAGGAGTATCATTGTGGCCCTCCCGGCTTCCAAAGTTGAGTAGCTCTGTGGTAGACTAACGTTTGCTTTTCTTTAGAGCGGCATCAGGTCTAAAGAGGATTGTCTTCCTGAGGAAGGACCACAAGAGCATGGTTTTTTTACTATCCAAGCTCTCAAAGCAAGGTTACAGGTTTGCATTCTGCTGCGCTCTCTGTATTTCCTGATAAGCAAATTCCTATCTGTGGTTTGTTTTTAAAGAAATTAGAACTAAAATTCTACTGAAGAAAATTGAAAGGAGCATGATCTGTCAAGTCAAGTGTAAAAATATAATTAGGCAGGCCAAAAAGAATTTATAGATCAAATAGCAATATGCATACACTAACAACAACAAAAAATTTAAGCTGCAGTCTGCCAAATAGTCAGTGGAGCTACTAGAAAATCAGTGTATTAACTGAGTACTCAAGGAAGATAAGACCATTATGGATAAATACCAACTTAATATTTCAATGGATATTCCTGTTGCTTGAGATTCTCTTCGCTACTAGCAGGGCAGTCGTAGGTTCTTTAAGCAGTGATAGTTTGACTTGAGAAAAAGGAGGGTACAGTGGTCTGTTGGGTTTTGCATAGGTTTAGCAGCCTGGTGATTTGGGTCCTTATTCTGTTTTTCATTCTGACTTGATCTGTGACCATGGATGAGAACGTAACTGCTTGGTCATATTTTCCAACATGTCGGTAGCTGGCATGGCTCAAAATCTGTATAGTTATTTAATAATCTCTCTCTAACAGAAGACTGACTTACTGTTCTTAGTTATCTGACCCCCTCATTGTGGTATGAGTACTTATAGCCATGCTTAATTTATTAGAAAGATATTCCTGGAGTGGCTTTGTTATCTTCTTAGAGATTGTAAGTGGTATTTTAGGTAATTGTTTGCTCATCTGCCCCCAAAGGATCAGTTATATTGTATTCTGCAGTTTTCTGCTATTAAGGCCTGCCCAACATATATAAAGCCAGTGGTAGAGCTAATGAAGCAGTCTGTGCTGTGATTTATGTATTTTGTATGTGTTGTAGTACCTAGATAACCTAATCAGGCCAGGAACACATTGTTCTCAGTAACTGGATGTAAGCAGCATGTAGATACTACGTATGCTTCATCAACCTTTGAGGATGCATGGCTGTACTTTCCAATGTTCAGTCTAGCTAGGGATTTGGTTGACAACAGATCACAAAAAAATGCTTATAGAAAAATATACTCATAAGGTAATCTCTGTGTAAGTCCTTAAAGTAACCTAGGCCCTTGAAGTTTTATAGGTACCTTCTTCCTGTCTCTCCTACCTTCTTAAAGACAATAATGTTCTTTGCTGTGGTCTTCAAGGACCTATTAACTACCTCCCATATAAGATTCTTGATACTAAAAGTTTTCTTTGAGTGCTTTTTGATCTGGATAGATTTGCAATCAAAGAAGAGAACCCTGGGATCATAAGACCTCCATCCTCCTGCTGACTATAATTTTATATAACTTAATAGGCAACATTTTCTCTTGCTCTAGTAGATTTCATTGACAGTCCTGAAGAAATGCAGCATTTTTTTGCCAGAAAAATCCCAGGGCTTAATCTACACTAGAGGGGAAAGATTTGTGTAAAACACACAAGAATAATTCTTATTCAAAAATTGCTCTATATTTTCAAATTCTGTGCATCTTGTAGACTAGTATTAATTGCTCTATATTTTCAAATTCTGTGCATCTTAATTTTGTAGATTAGTATCATTAGCCAACCTTTAGAGACCTTACTCTCAACTTAATGGCATTTTACTGTTGGAATGTAATGTGATAATTTTTGATTATTCCAAAATTTGAGGGAATATTCTAGGCCTCAAAGAGCAGAATCCAATTAGTTGTGGGTGGGAGTCAGAAAATTGGAAGGGGGAAAGTGCAGGCCAGGTGGAGCCCTTGGAATATGTTTAGCAGAGCCATAGCTTCAAACACCTCTGCAATTGTTTGTAGACTAAATTAATTGGTTGATGGCACTGATTAATAACTTTTCAGTAAAACAGTATTCCTGTCTCACCCATGCATATTGTCCCAAAACGGTTTAACATATTGATACCCTAAATGATGTATCTCAGATAAAAAGAAGAAATAATGGTGGGTAGATAAAAAAGATGTGTTCACAGAATCCCTGGCATGGGTTGGGGAAAAGAGGTGCCCTCAGACCTTCGCAAGAAAAAAAAAATCAGTGTAGACTCTTACACAGAGTGAAGGGGAGGGCATGGAGGCGAGATTTGGGAATGGAGATTGTCAAGGCTCCTTCCCCACTCTGGCACAATACATGCAGAAGTGGGGGCCCGCAAACGTACCCCAAAACCTTATCTTTCCAGGCTTGGATATAAAATTTCCCCCAAAAATCTTAAAAACCTAGATTTTGGGGATTAAAAACTCTGCTGCCACCAACCAAGTAATGATAAGAAAATCAGGGGAGAGATCACTTGAGAGAGCTCACCCCTAAAGTAAAAACCAGGACACAAAAATTAACCAATACCAGGTTAGTAAAAAGAAAGAACTTTTATTGTCAACACAATATTCCTGTTGCAAGTATAATGACTAGATGGAAAAGTCGCAAAGTAATATACTCATGGGGGAGGGGAACCCCACCATGGGCCAGGAGCTTAGTTACAAAGGAGATAAAAACCCATTTCTAAATGCACAGTCATCAGATCCCATTTCCCAAACCATAAAACAATAAAAACTAACTAATTTATCTAAACTTTATCCTACTTACAGATAGGTAGAGTCTTTTCTTGGAGGGAGACAGTGTCTGTCCCACTCAATAGCTGGAGAGAAAAAAAACCCAGAGACAAAGGAGGGAGAAACCAAAAATTCCTTTGTCCCAGTTTGAAATTCCTACCTACATTCCTATTGGTCAACTCTACCTGAGGCAGGTATAGTTAACTCCTTAGTCCCCAGGATGCTGGCTAACCCTCATGATCATAACAGAGGTGCACACAATGAGGAGTGACAGAGAGCTCTTGGGGACATGAGAAATGGACACACAGAGCCCTAGGCATGAGAATGGTGAAGGGTTTGACTGAGTTCCTGAAATAGAAAGGAATGTGAGGGTTCCAAACGGAGCTTAGGATCAAGAACAGGGTGATGTGCAGGAGGTATGCACAGAGTTTGGTTGCAGAAACATATAAGTTTGTGAACCCCTACTTTTACATGTTTATACCTTTCCCCTTTGAAAAGATACTTTTTTGTGCCTCAGAATTTCTAAAATTCTGTTGAAACTCTTTTAGAAAGTAGGACAGAAGTGGCAATGCAGCAAAGAGCACATTCCGGACTTCTACATCCGGATTTCTGGAGAAAAAGCGTAGAAGACGCAAATTAGGGTGCAATATTTTATGCTTACAGCATGGTAAATGTAGGCTCTGACTTTATTCGACTAGTAATCAGTACCAGTATGTGCAAAAAGAACTTTCTATTTAGATAAGGAAAATTAAGGAAGAAAAGATGACTAAATATCTGTCTGGTTGGTGGGGTTTTTTTTTAAAGGGTCCAGAAGATCATTGTAAAGTGACGATATTTTTAAGTGTCTAAAGTTGGCTCCAAAGTTTGTTTTGGCAACAAAATTGACCTGATTTAAAATACTTTTAGTGCCTACCTTCAGGCACCCTGTTTTTTTTAAAATCTTGATTTACATATCTAGAGTACAATGTAAAGCTGAAAGCCCTAGGAAACTTTCAAGCTCCTGCTCATACTTTGCTGACTTGATTTACATATCTAGAGTACAATGTAAAGCTGAAAAGCCCTAGGAAACTTTCAAGCTCCCGCTCGTACTTTGCTGACTAACTCTAATCACTATCCTTTTTATACCTCACAGGCTGGTTACAATTCTGTTCGGGAACTACAGCAGCATTTACGGCTCAAGGAAAAGGTTCTTTTTGAATCTTGCTGCGCATTAATAGACCTTGTCCATGGGAGGGAGCATATCCTACCAACTGCAGAAGAGGTAAAATAGATCATTCTATTACAATTTCTATATTTTTGTCAAAATGAAATATCTCTTTTAACTGGAGATGGAGCTTTACTATTTCTAGAGCAGAGTAGAAAACTGACTTTTCAGACTTAAGGAAACTGACTCTTCAATATATTGCCCTAGATGTGTAGTATGTTAGGATAACCTGTATTGGGGCATCTCAAGACTCTCTTTCAGACAATGGCTAACTAATTAATAGTTTTAGGCACCAAAAGTAATTAAGAAATTTAAGACGGGAACAGTGTAAGACAACTTTGGTTCACATAATCCAATTGGCTTGAACAGAGTTATGTGGTAGTCCAAGATTGTTATAAAATCAGTTTTCATAATGAAAGGAAGAATTTTGAGTTTAATGCATGTGAGGCTCCCATGGCAAACATCAGTAGTTTAATGCATGTGAGGCTCCCATGGCAAAGATCAGTTAATAAACATCTGACATTTATTGTAGAAGATAAAAATAGTTTCTGGAAATTTCCATTTGTACTTCAGGTATAACAGCATATTCCAGATTCATTTATTTTTCATCCTCATGACCACCTGAATACTTCTTGGTAAACAGGACAGGAAAAACACTTCAGTACTACAATAAAAGAATTACATTCTATACACTTCAGTTATTTAAACAGATATGTTTTTCTTAAGGAAGGTCTTGTTTCTCTCTGGGATGATATGGAAGATCTTCACCCTCTTGATAAAAAGATGGCATTGACATCTGAGGTTCCAGAATATCTCGTAGAGAAATTATGGCAACGTGTGGTAGATGACAGCTTGGTAGTTGGAGTTAAAATAAGAGAATCACCTAACTTGTAAGTAAACTCATTCTCATAACTTAGTCTGTAAGTTCAACCCTGCATTTGCAAAGCTGAAGAGGACTACAAAGTTCAAAATGTAACTTTTAGCTCTGAGTTTTAGAAATCCATTATAAGCCAGGGGTGGCCAAACTTACTTTGCCTCCAACCTTCACACAAGAGTTTTCAGAATTTCAAGAACCTGCAGAGTTTGGGGTTCAGCCTCACAGGAGACACCTGCTGAGGCTCTGGGCTTCAGCCTTTTGTAGAGGCGGATCTCAGACATTCAGTTCAGGCTCAGGGCTTCAGCCCTGTTCTTGCTGAAGCCCTAAGTTCTGGCAGGTGTGCCCTATGGGGCTAACACACCAGGATCCTCCTCCCCATTAGGCAGAAACCAGGAGTGATACAAGTGAGGAAGAGATACTGTGGCCTTCCCCTCCATTCAGTTTTGCCAGAGCTTGCTGGCCTGCTTGGTCACATGGTACTGCCAAACCGACTGCCTGCATGGCAGTTGCTGTAGCTGACAAGCAGGGAACTAGGATTGCCAGGTAGACCCTGCCAAAAAAAATGGACACACTTGATCGGGGGGAGGAGGGGAGAACTAG